CCCTAAACCCTAAACCCTAAACCCTAAACCCCCCCTAATCGCGCCTTGGACCCAAGGCTGGGCTTTAGCTCGCGGTTTCGTGGCGCGGCCGAGGCTGCAGAAGCGGGAGGCATTGTCTGCCAAGTAAGCGGATTCTGGGGGTTTCAGGGTTCGGGGTTTAGGGTTTAGGGTTTAGGGTTTAGGGTTTAGGGTTTAGGGTTCAGGTTTCAGGGTTTAGGGTGCACCCCAAACCCTACCTAAAGCCTAAACCCCTCCCTGACCTTTGAGAGAGATGAGGCTTCCCGGCTTTCTGACCAGGCTCTGGTTTTTTCCAGTTCAGACAAGTCTCAAAGAAGCCAAAACACCGCACACAAAACTTCAAGATGTAATATGGGCGCCTTAATGATTAAAGTAGTTTTTTTTGGGGGGGAGCGGGGGGGTGGGGGGGAGGGGGGGGGGGGGAGTTGAGGTTTATACCTTAATGTTTTTGGGGGTTGCTATAGTATAACTACATAGGGACCATAGGGGAATACGATTTAGCAATTCTTCCGACCCTAAACCCTAAACCCCAAACCCTAAATTAGAAATTATTCCGACCCCCTTTTGCCGATCGGTCCCAAGGCTTGGTTTTGCGATCGGAATCGAAGCCTGTAGAGTCCACATGGCCGTTGCGTGAACTTCGTGATTGGTGGGGTTTAGGTTGTAGGGCTTGGGGTTTGGGGTTTGGGGTCTGGGGGTTTAGGGGTTTGGGGTTTAGGGTTTAGCGACTTGCCTTTGCCTGATGGAGTTTTTAGAACATTACGGGAAGCTGAGCCCCTCCCACCCCTAAACCCTAAACCCTAAACCCTAAACCCCTAAACCCTAAACCTAAACCTAAACCCTAAAACCCTAAACCCTAAACATGCACTCAACCACTCAACCCTTGTTATGAAACTAAACATCTTCAGCACCCAGTGGCAGCTCCATCGTGCCTTCGGCAGCTGCTTTGGCCGCTCTGGAGGGGCAGTTGGCTCGTCCTCTGGTGGGGGGGGGGGGGGGGAGTTGTTGGGAGTTTCAGGTTTAGGGTTTAGGGTGGGGGGGGGGGGGAGCGGGGGGGGGGTGGGGGGGGGGGGGGGGGTGGGGGGGGGGGGGGGGGGGGGGGGGGGGGGGTGGGGGGGGGCGGGGGGGGGGGGGGGGGGGCGGGGCGGGGGGGGGGGGGCGGGCGGGGGGGGGGGGGGGGGGGGTGGGGGGTTCTTTGTTGGGGGTTTGGGGGGGCCTTGAAAAGTTGAAGGAGTTGCGGGATTTTAGGGATTTTGAGTCAGGGTCGCTAAGGATTCCTAGGGGCTTTAGGGTTGAGGGGAAAGATACCCTTATGGGGGGGGGGGGTTCCCTGTTCAGCATGCAAAGCCACAGAAAGTGGGCAGATATGCTATGCTAAGACAAACATCTCGCAGCCATGAGGTGTCTTGGGTTTAAGGTTTAGGCGCTGAGGTTTAGGGCCTCATTCATCGCATCGCGGCCATGACGAGGATTTTGCTTTGACGTTGTAGAAGCTCTGCTTGCCCAGTTGTTCTGGCCAAGCTTGGGTTGCTGCCAGTCAGTTCTTCCCTCTTCCACTCCAACCCATCAGCGTGGTTTGGCGCTGCGCCCTGTTCGCAATGCTTGCCGTTTTGGAGGCGTCCGCAGACCCATACTTCCCTAAGGCCCAAACCGTAGCCTGCCGTCGGGCTCCCCTCCCTCGCGCTGACCGAAACCCTGACCCCGATTTTCCCAAGGGCCAGGCCAGCCAGACGCTAAGGATGGACTAGCCCACAGACTCTCCGCAAATGCCCCCTCACCCCAAACTCCCTTAACGCGGGATTCTATTCTATTTGGGGTATGAAGAGGGTAGCCCCATGTTGGGAATTAATACCTAAGAGGTTACAGTAGGAACCCTGAAGCCCTCTAAACCCCCCAATCCCCTCCTACCACCCTTCGAAGAGCCCCCTGGAGTCGGGGCCTCCTGGACACTGAAGAAGCCGGCTAGCTTCTGCTTCCGCGCGTTCTCCCGCTCCAGACGCTCCTTGCGAGCCTGGGGGGGTATCTGGATTTAGGATGTTTAGGTTGGGATGTTCCCCCTTATACTAACATTCCTTAATAGGGATTAGAATAGGGGGCACTATAACCCCTACCAAGGACTGTTCGTATAAGGGGAACCATCCCAATGGTTTTAGGGCTTGGGACTTAGAGCTACTAAGGGTTGAGGCGAGGGATCTTTTTCGGAGGATCTGAGAAGTACCAACAAGTGGGTGAATCCAAGCTTGGAGCAAGTGCCCCTCCGCATCCGCCGCGGCCAAATGCCCAAAGCTCCACAGCATCGATCAAGGCCCCCCGACTCTGACCCAAGGGAGCACATATCCCCCACACACTATGAATGAACTCGAATCAGAATGTCTAATATTAGGGTGGGGGGAAGGGGGATGAAGCAAATGACCCGGACCCCATACACCCTAGACCCCGAACCCTGAACGCAAAACCCTAAACCCTGAACCCTGCTACCCTACCACACAAGCCACTAAACCCAACACCCAAAACCCCTGAACCCTAAACTCCTCCCGCTAAAACCGACACCCTACAAGCCCCTGGCCTGACGCACCATTTCGGCGGCATCCGCATTCTCCATTTCTGGGGATGCGACCGGGGCGGAAGTGATGCCCTGGGCGGGTAGTGTAGGTTGTAAGGGTTTAGGGTTTAGGGCTTAGGGCTTAGGGCTTAGGGCTGAGGGACTAGAGGACTTACGGGGCTGAGGTTCTAGACGTTTATACGGTTTAGGGTTCATAGGGAGGGGTTTAATAGCGCTTCCAGGTTAAGGAGTTTATAGGGTTCAGGACTTAGAGGAGGGTTTAGGACTTAGCTTTTAGGGGTTGAGCTTGTCCCTAAACTTTAAACCCGAAACCGAGACCTAAACCCTATGGGGACTTCGGGTTCTTGGGGTTTAGGGTTTTTGGGTTTAGGGTTGACGTGTGATTTGTGGCCGCGGGCTGCTGCTTTGAGGCCTGGAGGGGGTAGGGGGGGAGGGAACCCAAACCCTACTTGGAGAAGTAGCTGTGGTGTATGTACCCCTCCAAATTGTAGCTATACCTGGATATCACCATGTTTGGGGCACAATACAAACTTACTTATACCGATACCTCAATTCTATACTATACACCATATACCCTCAACCCTAAACCCTAGCCCCATTTATAAGTACCCATGAACCTGCAAGCAAACCCTGCTTGGCCTTGGCACCGTTAACGGCCGAGCACGTGCTGAGGAGGGCTGCTTCGGGCTTTGCGGGGTCTGGGGCTTTTGGGGTGCAGGGGTCAACGTATAAAGTTGTTTAGGAGGGTTGGGGGTTAGAGCTTCACGACAACTCGATAGTGGAAATGCTTGTCGTGAGCCCGAAACTGATCAAGACCCTCGTCCGAGACAAGGTGAGAACACTTAGAAGGTTCATGGGCGCCTACAACTGTGGCAATTTGTTACGACATGATCCTGCCGAGATACTTAGCGCTTAGAACTATCCATGAACCTTCCAAGGGGTTCACCGGGTTGCTGTTCAAAAGGAAGTCAAGTTTAGCAGAAGGCCAGCCACTTTTCGGAAAACGTTGTCACCCTGATCATGTTTAAGCTTCTTAATCGCAACACAGATTCAGGGTTTTAGAGTCCAGATGGGTATTTCCCAAAATAGGGCTACCCCTTGAGACCCCCGAAAACGGGTACCCCCCATGCAAAACCCTAAACCCCAAACCCTAAGCCCTAAACCCCAAACCCTAAACCCTAAACCCCAAACCCTAAACCCCAAACCCTAAACCCCAAACCCCACACCCTAAACCCTAAACCCCCACATTTCACGAGGCTCCGACCGCAGACTCCTTGGTCTGCGAAGCGCTGCGCCTAGCTCGCCGAGGCTCCTCCGGGCTTGGAGCTTAGGGCTTAGGGCTTAGGGCTTAGGGCTTAGGGCTTAGGGCTTAGGGCTTAGGGTTTAGGGTTTAGGGTTTAGGGTATTTACTTGACCTAAACTCTGAACCCCAAACCCCAAGCCCTAAGCCCTAAACCCCTGCCAAAACCCGAAACCCAACAATGAGTGAACCCCGCAGCACACTAATCTCTTCCTCTAGTACTAACCTCCCCCAGTATTTTTAATATATTAGGGGGGGGGTTCTTATCGACTGTCCGAACAAACAGCCCGTCAATATTGTAGCTTGCTGGGAGACCCTAAGGCCAGGGACTGAGAGGAACTTGAAACTTGAGGGTTCAGATTTCTGCTTCAGGCTTCCGACCTCCCCTAACCCGCCCTTCGTTGGGTAGAGGCTTCTAGTGGGGCGGGTACGGGATCGGGTGTTGGGGTCAGGTGGTGTTTAGTGTTTAGTATTAGGGTCCCTAAGGGTGACCTACAGCCCTTCTAAGGCCCTTACTGGACCGTAAACCCTACACCACAAGCCCTAAAAGCCTTAGCCCTTAGCCCTAAACCCTAAACCCTAAACCCTAAACCCCAAAGAGGCTCCTTGGCCGGCGACTCGGCATGTGTTGGGCTGCGCCGGCGCTTCTTGCGAGGCTCCTGCGCTGTTCGCGGGCCAACTCAGGGGTGCAGGGGCCTTCAGGGGTTTAGGGTTTAGGGTTTCGGGTTTCGGGCTTAGGGTTTAGGGTTCAGGGTTCAGGGGGCGCACACAAGTGGGGGTTTACGAAAATAAGGGTCCCCTAATATAGACCACAGAGAGTATAGGATTCCTTATAATCAGGAACCCCCAAGAAAGGTACCCGTACTATCGGAAACCCCCAAGTTGTTGGGTATTTCAAGGCTTTGGGCTCCGGGCATCTGCAAGACGCACCAAGGTTGCGTGAGAAGTTTCTTGGAGCAGTTGATGGGATTTTGGTCTTTGTGCTTGGTGCTTACTGGGGGGGCCCTGTATAATATCATGGCTTATGGCTTTATCAGGATTCTATAAACCCTAAACCCTAAACCCTAAACCCTAAACCCTAAACCCTAAACCCTAAACCGAGGGTAACAAAGATTAAAATTAGACGCTGGTTTCGCTGGTTTCCCTGGCCCACACCGTGGGAGAAACATACCCCTATCGAACTGCTGGATGCAAGCGTGCCAAAAGCAGGCCCCGTGTCTCAACCCTAAACCCTAAACCCTAAACCCTAAACCCTAAACCCTAAACCCTAAACCCTAAACCCTGCTTAGGGTTCACAGGGTTTTGGGCCCGGGTGGATCCGAAGGCGGCTGCCATTAAGGGTGTCAATTGCATTCGAGCGCCTCCTGTATTTCCAGCAAAGCTCCATCTGACAAAAGGGCTCTGTGGGGGTTTAGGGTTTAGGGTTTTAGGGTTTAGGGATTAGGGTTTAGGGTTTAGGGTTTAGGGTTTAGGGTTTAGGGTGTAGGGTGTAGGGTGTAGGGCTTAGGGTTTAGGGTTTAGGGCTTAGGGTTAAAGCTCTGTGAGGGTGAGGTTGCCCCGGTTCAGGGCTTTAAGGCTTTGTACCCTAAACCCCGCACCCTGAAGGTTGAGAAGCTACGTTTAGAGCTTGGGGTTTGGGGCTTTAGCCAGGCTGCCCTGAAACCCCAGAAGCTGTATAGCCCCTAAACCCTAAACCCTAAACCCTAAACCCTAAACCCTAAACCCTAAACCCTAAGCCCTGAAACCGCAAGGCCCCCCCGTCTTCCTTCTCCCGCTTCGGCGGCTCATTCTGCACCGCCCTCCTCGTGGGCTCCGGGCGAGAGCGCCGGGAGTAGACAAAGCCAGGAAGGAACTGCACCTGCTTGCCTCTGTCAACTCTAAGGGAGGGTTTAGGGTTTAGGGTTTAGGGTTTAGGGTTTAGGGTTTAGGGTTTAGGGTTTAGGGTTTAGGGTTTAGGGTTTAGGGTTTAGGGTTAGGTTTAGGGTTTAGGGTTTAGGGTTTAGGGTTTAGGGTTTAGGGTTTAGGGTTTAGGGTTTAGGGTTTAGGGTTTAGGGTTTAGGGTTTAGGGTTTAGGGTTTAGGGTTTAGGTTTATGGTTTAGGGTTTAGGGTTGAGGGTTGAGGGTTGAGGGTTTAGGGTTTAGGGTTTGGGGTTTGGGGTTTAGGGTTCAGGGTTTAAGGTTTAGGGTTCAGGGGGTCAGCACTGGGTCAGCTCATGGCTTGATTCACCAAGCGATGCATGCAACTTCCAAAACGACTCGGCTCAAGTGGAGGGGACTTCAAAAAAAAAGGGTGTTGAAAACTTGGGCGTTCACCAGATGGCACTAACAGTTGTCTAAACTTTCTTGATGCTATTCGTCCATCCAGTTTGCATGCGTATGACATTCACTGAAAGCATATGCTAAAGCGAATGAAGCTTGAAGTGAAAGTTACAACTAGGTACATGGACCCTTAGGGCTAAACCCTAAACCCTAAACCCTAAACACTAAACCCTAAACCCTAAACCCTAAATCCTAAACCCTAAACCCTAAACCCTAAACCCTAAACCCTAAACTGCACAGGGGCTTTAGGGTTTCGGGTTGAGGGCTTAGGATTTAGGGTTTAGGGCTTAGGATTTAGGGTTTAGGGTTTAGGGTTTAGGGTTTAGGGTTTAGGGGCGTGCGAACAAGTGCGAACGAAGATCATGCCAAGCCCATGCAGGAAGAGCTGGTCGAAAAGCATCTTGGGGGTTTTGCGAAAATAGGGGCACCCCTTATATACCCCAAAATACGATATAATCCCTTTAAAGGAAGCCAAAGAAGGGTGACCCCGATTTTCGAAAACCCCCATTTGTGGAGGCGATTTGAATGGCCCCCAGGAAAGTAAGAGCCCCTAAAAAGCTGAGCCTGCAAGCAAGCACGCTGAGATTCGACCTCCAGCAAGGAGCTGATCTCCTTCTGCTGCCTCTGCAAGTTCTGTCACCTGGTCTCTTGCTTTTTTTTGCCTCTACAAGCATCACGAGCAATGCCAGGCTGCAAGACGGTGCTCCCAAGTGCAGCTGAACTCCTCGACCTGTCGCTGTCAACCAGCGACGGAGGTGTGCTTTGCACCCCTGTCAGAACAATTGGGCGCTCACAGTCTTGAGTCAAATGCTGGGGCCGTAGCCATGGGTTTAGGGTTTAGGGTTTTAGGCCTGAAACCCGGATCCTCCGACCCACCCCCCCCTGAAACCCCGGAACCCCTAAAAAAACCAACAAGCCCTCAACCCTTACACTCATAAACTTTCCCCTGCCCTAAACCCTTAATCCTAAACCCTAAACCCTAAACCCCTAAACCCCCCAACTCATAAACCCTAAACCTCCAGTTGTGGCCTGTGCCCATGGAGCAAGCCAGGGGCCATGCAGCAAGAGCTTTCGGGGACTAGGTGCTTAAGGCTTAGGTTGGGGCACATGGTTTAGGAAACCTGGGGTTGAGGGTTTAGGGTTTAGGGTTTTAGGGCTTATGATTGAGGGTTTGTGATTCAGGGCTTAGGGTTTAGGGCTTCGGGGTCTAGGGTCTCAGCCTCTCAGGTCCAGGGTTCAGGGCTTGTGGTTTCGGAGTTCAAGGGTCTAGTATTTCAGGAACTTTGGAGATCTCATGTGTTAGGGTTTAGGGTTTAGGGTTTGGGGTTTAGGGTTTAGGGTTTGGGGTTTGTGCTCAACCCTAAACCCTAAACCCTAAACCCTAACCCTAAACCCTAAACCCTGAACACTGAACCCTGAACCCCAAACCCTGAACCCTAATCCCTAAACCCTCTGATATCGGACCAGATGGCTGCGCATCCTGTTGTATGCATAAGAACATGCAGGAAAGGGACTTCAGTTGGCGAATGCTGTGAGGGCAGTGATTTTCCAAAAGGACTTTGGGGAGGAAGGGTTTACCGTTTAGAGTTTGCAACATCTAGGGCTCAGAAAATCCCGGAGTAAACTTGGACAAAACCCAAGGGGGTAGTAACCCTAAACCCTAAACCCCAAACCCCAAACCCTAAAAAAGTTGGCTCCGCGTCGGTATCCTAAAGGGTCAGGAATGGGCGAACAAACAGCGACCCGAAAAGCATCTGAAGAATGTAAGATAGACCCTAAACCCTAAACCCTAAACCCTAAACCCTAAACCCTAAACCCCAAACCCTAAACCCTAAACCCTAAATTAGTAAAATCTTCTTTTACAGGACACGGCTTTGGGACTCTTCACTCAAAGCCCTAAACCTGAGACCTTCGTCATCCAACTTAGGGCTTGATAGGGTTTAGGGATTAGGGATTAGGGTTTAGGGTTTAGGGTTTAGGGTTTAGGGTTTCGGGTTTCGGGTTTAGGGTTTAGGGTTTGGGGTTTAAGGTTGCAAAGTACCAAAACATGCCGTTCAGCGCTTGAGGGATGAAGGGTTTAGGGTTTAGGGTTTAGGGTTTAGGGTTTAGGGTTTAGGGTTTAGGGTTTAGGGTTTAGGGTTTAGGGTTTAGGGTTTAGGGTTTAGGGTTTAGGGTTTAGAGTCACGCGATCAACCCTGAACCTTGACAAGCCCAATAAGCCCAAAAAAAACTGGCGCCCGGAGCCTGATGTGTGGGGCGGCGGCCAAGGAAATCGCAAGCCGAAAGAAAACAAGGCTTTGGGGCTTGGACACATCACACCCTGACCCTATGGACCCTGGATAAGCTTGTAAAGCTTAGGCTTCAGGGCTTCGGGTCGGCTTAAACCCCAAACCCTAAGCCCTAAGCCCTAAACCCCAAACCCTAAACCCCAAACCCTAAACCCTAAACCCTAAACCCTATTACTTCGGCTTTGGGAACCCGAACCTGAAAACCCTTCGGCGACAAGCTCTGCGCCAAGCTCCAGGGTCCGAAGTATGGGCTTCGGGTTTCGGGTTTCGGGTTTCGGGTTTAGGGTTTAGGGTTTAGGGCTTAGGATACACGCTAGGTATTAAGGGCCCATACTTCGGATCACATACTTCGGATCCCCATAGCAAGGGTAAGGGACCATACGAAGGGCTTTGAGGCTTAAACCCTAACCCTAAACCCTATTTTCGTAAACCCCCAAGTGCTGCGAGCCAAGAGCGGATCTGGAGCAGACAGCGGGGGGGAACAAGACTGCCGAAGGTGCAGGTTCGGAGCTCGGAGTTTAGGCAGGGTTTAGGGTTTAGGGTTTGGAGTTTAGGGTTTAGGGCTGAGCGTTTAGGGTTTCGGGTTTAGGGTTTAACCCTAAACCCTGAACCCGCGTAAGCTTCTGTCCATGGATTGGGGTTTGGGGCTTGGGGTTCCGCATAAGCCTGCGAATAGAGAGGGAACGCCAATTAGGTTCCTGAAAGCTTAGGGTCCCCCTATATATATACCTCCTCTTCCCCCCTATAATTGCTAACCCCTCAAAGAAGGTTTATCGGGACGCCAGTTCCAAAATTCCGTGCCAAGAAGCAGTCGGCTGTTTGGGGTTCATTTCCTTAAAGTAGGGCCCCCCTGATTACGGTTGAGGGTTCGGGTTGAGGGCTCTGGGGTACAAGATAAAGGCCTGAAAACTGAGCTTCCTTTGGGGGATTACGGTATTCGGGGGTACCTTCTTGGGAATTCTAATTGTACGGGGATCCTACTATTTGGGGGTCTATTTTTGGAGTCCCCCATTCTCGTAAATCCCCAAATACGTAATATTTCGGCACCTGTATTCCTAGTAGCTTCCCGTAGGATGCGGCCGCGGCAAGCTAGATGCAGCTAAGCTAGAGGCGGAACCTTCCGACGTTCTTACAGGAGATTTGGGTTTTCAAGCGTTGGGACTTGGGGCGTGGGATGTAAGGCTGGTCCCAGAAGATCGAGAGGAGCTGACTTCATCTTACATCTCAAGGGATCCGATCCTGAGAAATCCTGAATTAGGGTCCCTTCGTGAAATCCTGTTTTAGAGGGTGCCGCCTTATAATGGGCACCCAAAAAGAGAAGCCTAAACGCCAAAATGGGTGGCCTGAAGCCTAAACGCCAGAATGGGTGGGTTCAGGGACCCTAAATCCTAAACCCTAAACCCTAAACCCTCAAGTCCTGAGCAACTCTTAGAGTAGTCCTCCAATACATCCCCTGCCGCACCAGGGTCACCTCGATAGGGGCCCGCCTCTCCAGGACAAGGGGGTTTTGGTTTAGGGTTTAGGGTTTAAGGGTTTAAGGTTTAGGGTTTAGGGTTTAGGGTTTAGGGTTTCGGGTTTAGGGTTTAGGGTTTAGGGTTTAGGGTTTAGGGTGTAGGGTGTAGGGTGTAGGGTGTAGGGTGTAGGGTTGAGGGTTTAGGCTTTTCGGGTTTATGGTTTAGGGTGTAGGGTTAAGGCTTGAGGGTTTAGGGTTTAGGGTTTGGGGGTCTTTGGGTTTCGGGTTGAGGGAACAATCTGCTCCACGCCATGAATTTGCAGCAGCATAGGCCTAATTCGGGCCTGGGGTTTGTATGTTGGGTGGGGGGGGGGGTTGTTTACTTACTTCTCCACTATACACTTTTTTGTTCCTGCTGTATACGGAAGCCCACAAACTTCTCTGCACTCAGGAGGGTAGCTATAAATGAAACTTTTAGCTGCCTTACTAAGAAACCCAATAAACCCAAAAAAAGTACTCTAAACCCTAAACCCTAAACCCCAAACCCCAAACCCCAAACCCCAAACCCTAAACCGTCTTACGGTAAAGTACCACAAAGTAAAAAGCTGAAAGTTCTACCTAGTGGCAAAGTAAGACGAAGGGCTCGGTGAGTCCATGTTTGAGGGGCTTGAAGGGCTAAACCCTAAACCCTAAACCCTAAACCCTAAACCCTAAACCCTAAACCCTAAACCTTAAACCGTCTTTCGGGCCCAGGCTCCTAAGAGCCGAAGGGTTTCGAGCAGAGGGTTTCAACAAGTTGTCCCTGGTTTCCCAGACACCAACAGCTGACTCCTAAACCGGAGGGTTCATGGGCAGTTGAAGCTGCAGCTGGGGCTTCGGGCCTTAGAGCTTGGGGGTGCGGAGTGTCGGAGGGTTTGCGGTTGGCCATTGGACGCACTCTTGTAGTCCCCGTTGCTGCGCGACGTTCCACGACCACATGAGTCGCCTGAACGTGCGAAGTTCACGTGCCCACCTCGGCCGTGTACCATTTCGTGATGCAGCGGCGCCTTGCCCGAGGGGGAGGCGGCAGGAACGGACTTTCGGCAAGCGCGCAAGCTGGCTCAACTCTGCTGGGACCTTCTGTGTTCGGGTTTAGGGTTTAGATCCAATACCCAACATGTAAAGCAGAAACACCAAACCCAAAGCCCTAAACACTAAACCAAGTCGGGCTTAGGGGTTCGGGGCACAGGGAAGATTAGCTGGTCTAGTCTGTTTGGAAACCTCTCAATCCATGAAACCCTCATCTTAGGAGTACCCCTTATATACGCCTTTTATACCCTATACAAATTAAGGGCCCATATATACATCAGAACCCTTTAAAGGAGGTTATAAAGGGACCATATTAAGGACCCATGAAACTACCCTCAGACCTCAACGAACCCTTAACCCTAAGTTGCACTAGGGTTGAGGGTTTAGGATGTCGGGTCTCGGCTTAGGCAAGGTTCAGGGTTAATCCCTAAACCCTAAACCCTAAACCCTAAACCCTAAACCCTGAGTCCGACCCCGATCCGGGCCTCCGCTTCAGGCTGCGCGGGTGCATGAGGACCGCCTGGGGAAGTGCGGTGCCTGAGCCACGGCTGGGTTGGGTCTTCGGGTTTAGGGTTTAGGGTTTAGGGTTTAGGGTTTAGGGTTTAGGGTTTAGGCTTGAGGTTTAGGGTTTAGGGTTGAGGGTTTCGGGTGCAGGGTTCGGGGTTGTGGGTTTGGGGGCTTCAACCCCGAAGCCTCTTCAGCTTGTGGGGGTTCGGAAACTTTAGACAAACTTTCAAACTGATGTAAGTGACTGGTGTGGAAGTTGACGGGTCAAGGGTTCTTACTGCAGTTTTTAGGCCTTGGGGTTTAATGGGTTCTCTGTAGGGGGTTGTGCCTCGGGCCCTGGCTAGGCCCGGCAACGCCGAAGGCCCGACGTGGGCCGAGGCTACCTCTGTCCGCAACCTCAACCAACAAATGTGGCCTCAAGAAAAAAGCATCGGCGCATGAAAGAAAAACCTAAACCCTGATGGCGTATAGTTTCTAGTTGGCGTGGCCGGGGTGGGTTGACAGGCAACGCGAGCGCACAGCCCGGGGCGTTTCACGCCCGAAAGCGCCCGCCCTCTCCCTACAAACCCTAAGCCCTAAACCTGAACCCTGAACCCTAAACCCTAAACCCTAAACCCTAAACCTTCACCACTTCACCAGTTGCGGCAGCCCGGATCCACTAGGCTACGGGAAGGTGAAACCCGTTTGGAGGCCCACAACAGGACCGCAACTCAGAGCCATATCAAGGGGGGGGGGGGGTTTTAGGGTTTAGGGTTTAGGGTTCAGGGTTTAGGGTCTAGGGTCTAGGGTCTATAGGGTCTAGGGTCCAGGGTCTAGGGTCTAGGGTTTAGGGTTTAGGGCTTAAGGCTTAGGGTTTAGCGCATCCCACACAAACCTGCTTCGTCGTAGCTCGGGCGTGGGCTGAAGTTCGCGCCCACCTTCGGCGAGATCTTGGCGGTTGAGACGCTTCGATGGGATCCGAAGGACGGGCGCTGAGTTCGGGTCATACTTGGGGCTTAAAGTACTTCCTATAGAGGGACTTTGGGGCCTATGTATATAATAAGGAGGTACATGGACCCTTAGAGTGCTATAGAAAGGACACATACTTCGGATCCCTATAAACAAGGGTACGGGACCACCCTCAGGGCCCCTGGGTTCAAACCGTAAGGCGATTTCGGGTTGAGGGGTGCTCGGGCTGCTGCAACTGGGGGGATCAGCAGGGCAGCGGTTTCTATCTCCTGATTGTAGTCTTCTTGAGGGGGCACGCACTTAAAAACAAATGCCTTTGTTTTCCTACCCATGAGCCCTAAACTCTTAGCGCCCCCCAAAACACGGTTTGAAGTTCGGCTGCACTGGGCTCGAGGGCTCAGAGTTTACACATATGTGTATATATATATATACATAATATATATATATACATATATATATACATATATATATATATATACATATATACGGTTTGTTTAGGGCTTCTTGGTTAGGGTTCAGAGTTTAGGGCTTAGGGTTCTCGTTCTCTTGCTCGGGGACTCCTCAGCCCTAAATCCTGGTCTGGAGCTTTTGCTTGAACCCCCAAGACCAACGAAGCCCCTAAACCCTAAACCCTAAACCTTAAACCCTAAACCCTAAACCCTAAACCCTAAGTCCCAAAACTGCAAACCCTTCCAACCCCGAATCGCTCGCGAGCTCTATCACCCTGCACCAAGTTGCTAAGTACCCTAGACCATAAAGGTTAACCTTTAAAAAATGGTAGGGTTCTACATACCCCAAAAAGTTAAAGGTTACCTACTCAGCTACTAAGTACACCCTCAACCCAGACGACGTCTGGAGGTCCGGGCGGTGGGCGACTGCATGTCCCTCTGGTTCCACGGCATCACGCAATCCTGGGCTTGGGGAGGGCTACGGGTTTAGGGCCCTAAACAGATTTGGGGGTTGGGGTGCGCTAATATTGGGGGGAGGAGGTTACTCCTCAATATTGTCACGTCTCAACATGATGGTCTGTTTTTTAAAGGCCTGATCATAAGGGCGGCCCCTATTTTTTAGGATACCCAAAAAGGGTACCATCATGTTGAGAACTGACCATATGAGCCTCTTCTTCAAGGGAATACGTAGTTCTCCGAATTACGGTGCCAGAAGTTACCTGAACACGAGGGCTTGGAGTATGTAATTGGAACCCTAAACCTAAACCCTAAACCCCAAAACCCCAAAACCCTAAACCCTAAACCCTAAACCCTAAACCCTATACTAGGAGAGCCTGCCGTTGAAATTGTCCGCCGCGCCTCCTTTGCCACGGACCCGGGGAGCGACGAAATGTCCACCACCTGCGCTTTCTTCCATCTTCTAGGGCCCGTATCCTGAACCTTACCCATTAAAATATAGTAAATTCGCCTCCCTTCCCTCAATATTGTATGCGTGTGTCATTCACTCCGTTCATTCACTTGTCCATAGAATTATAGTACATTTAATATACTATTTTCCCCAGCATTTAATGGTAAATTGTAAGGGCTAGAAAAATAGCAATATTTTCTGAGGCCCTTTTGTACGTATTATTTGGTATTTTGGAAATCTAAACATTTAGAAGTTACATCAGATTCATTTTGTTTTCTTATTAATAGTTCTTGGTTATTATTCTTTGCTCTTATTATAATTCTATTTATCTTTACAGGATTTAATATTTATTGTTGGACTGGAATTCACTTCTCATAGAATTATTTTCTTATATTTTATCATCTTCTATTTGGATTAATTTATAGTTTTCATATTTGGTCTAGAGATTTATTCAGAGAATTCACTAAAAAAATATGAAGTCTTATTATAAAAATATGTTTTCTTCTTTTGGGTGGTTTTCTAGTTTCTGAAGCTCTATTATTTGTATCCTTCTTTTGGACATCTTTTCATTCATTATCTTGTCCAACTTTAGGGATGTGGCCTGGAGAAGCTTTCTATCTTCCAGATCCTTGTGAATTAACTTTTGCTAATACACTTCTTTTATCTAATGCTGCTAGGAAATGCTTTTATTAATTTAGAAATTTCATCACAATATACTATTTTCTTCACTTTGTGGTCATTCTATTTATCTTCGGGTTTAGGGTTTAGGGTTTCGGGTTTAGGGTTTAGGATTTAGGATTTAGGGATTTGCCCGTAACACCGGGACCTCCACGCCTTGGAGTCCATGTAAAAAACTAAAGCCAGAACAACGCCTGCGAGCCCGGATGCAAGTCCCAAAGCACTGGGTTTAGGGTTTGGGGTTTAGGGTTTAGGGTTTAGGGTTTAGGGTTTGGGGTTTAGGGTTTAGGGTTTAGGGTTTAGGGTTTAGGGTTTAGGGTTACTGGACCCTGTAAGGAAGCCCTGCACTCTTGATCCGAAACACTGAGCCCTAAGCCTTGAACACCTCAGCCATTGGTTTAGGGGTTTAGGGGTTTAGGGGGGTTTAGGGGGGTTTAGGGGGGTTTAGGGGTTTAGGGGGGTTAGGGGTTTAGGGGTTTAGGGGTTTAGGGGTTTAGGGGTTTAGGGGGTTAAGGGTTTAGGGGTTTAGGGGTTTTGGGGGTTTTGGGGTTTAGGGGGGTTTAGGGGTTTAGGGGTTTAGGGGTCATTAGTTTCCTAAATCCTAGACCCCCAAAACTTTCACTACGAAAGCCCTGAACCCCTGATGCCCTATACCGTAAACCCTAAACCCCAAAGCCCAAACCCCGACCCTAACCCCTAACCCCTAACCCCTAAACCCTAAATCCTAAACCCTGAACCCTAAACCCTAAATCCTAAACCCTGAACCCTAAACCCTAAACCCAAAGCCTAAACCCTGAACCCAAATCCTAAACCCTGAACCCAAATCCTAAACCCTGAACCCTAAACCCTCAACCCCGAACAAATCGAAACCCGAAGCCCTGATTCCGGTGCCTCCCGGTCCTCACCGGACTCCCCCTGATGTACTCAGGGCAGTTCAGGGTGGAGGCCTAAAAATCCCACTAGAGTTTAGGGTTGTAGGGTTTAGGGTTTTACGGCTCAGGGTTTTAGGGTTTTAAGGTTTAGGGTTCAGGGTTCAGGGTCCAGGGTTCATTAGGGTTTAGGGTTTAGGGTTTAGGGTTTAGGGTTTAGGGTTTAGAGTTTAGGGTTTAGGGTTTAGGGTTCAGGGTTTAGGGTTGAGGGTTGAGGGGGGTTGCGGGTTTCGGGCTTCGGGTTTGGGACGTCTCGCCGTGCAGCGGCAGTAAATACCGTGTTGAAATAGCGCCGCAACACACCCAGGGGCGTGGGGGGGGGGGGGGGGGGGCGGCATGTCACGCGAAGGCACATGTTTCTGATGCAGCCGATCGATTTCATTGGTGCTCAGTTTATTTTCCCCCCGCTGTGAGCTTCCACAGGCCACCAGGCCACCACCCGAACCATTGCCTTTTGAGGATTAGGGCTGAACTCCCACCATGGTGAACTGGTGAACGCTTCAAAGTTAGAAACGATACATCTCAGAAACGGGGGGGGGCAGAAGGTCTTCAGGAGCAGGGGTTGACCCAGAGACTCCAAAACCCCTTAATTAAGGAATAGACCTTAAATTTAGAATAGGAGCCCTAATATGATTTAAGGTATATTCCTTAATTAAGGGGTTTTGGAGTCTTTGGGTTGAGGTCTGAATATGACCATTCTCGTAAAGCTCCACCCATGGTCAATCCGTAAAAAGCCCCATGAGCCCCATGAGTCCCATTGAACCCTAAACCCTAAACCCTAAACCCGAAACCCTAAACCCTAAACCCTAAACCCTAAACCCTAAACCCTACCCCAAAAGCGTTTGAAGGTTTTGGTTCTTGGCTCGGCTGAGGGCTTTCGGGAGTTGAAAGGTGTAAAGGAAGAGGTCTTTAGAAGTCAGGTTGAGGGGGGCTTTCGAGGGTTTAGGGTTGCGGGTTTGGGGTTTGGGGTTTGGGGTCAAGCAGAGAGGGTGGCGGCTGGAGCCAATCTGAAAGGAATCGTCACGGAATCTACTCTGATGAGGAGGAAGACCCCCCCCCCCCCCAACCTCTGAGTGAGTACCCTGAACCTTGAACCCTAAACCCCAAACCCCAAACGCTAAACCCTAAACCCTAAACCCTAAACCCGCAGGAGGGGGAAAGACGATGCTGCTGCGACTCTGCCCTGCGCATGGCACAATCTGCACAAGACCTTACAGGGGGCGCGTCATGATGGGGCCGTGTCATGCGAATGCAGCTCTGCCATCCGCTGGAGATGTTGTGCGTCCGTCTCAGGCCTGGCTGTGTTCGCCGCAGACAAAAGCATTGGCCCTAAACCCTAAACCCCAAACCCGAAACCCTAGACCCTAAACCCTAAACCCTAAACCCTAAACCCCACACCCTAAACCCTAAACCCTAGCATCATACAGGGGCCGACACCTTTCGCTCTTCTTGGCACGCCTGGTCGACTCGGGGGTTTGCCGGAACGTGGTGCCACGTGGCGAGCCAGCTCCTGTACCCAGAGACTCCAAAACCCCTTAATTAAGGAATAGACCTTAAATTATAATAGGAACCCTAATATGATCTAAGGTATATTCCTTAATTAAGGGGTTTTGGAAGGCTTTCGGACCGAGACTAGAAAGGCAGGACCCCCAGCCCTCACACTCGCGCCACGTAGGGATGGGGGAAAGATCGCGCTCACCAGCACATGCACTACAAGCACAGAATCAGAAGCAGGAACCTGAGGAGGACGATGCCACTATAGCTGCAACAACAACAGTGGCACTCACGAAGGCAGACTATGACACGCTGAAGGCCACAGTTTTGAAGCAGGATGCCAGACTGAACACTGTCGAGTGGAAATCCGCGAAAACAGCGTCACTTCTGCATAGAGACCAAGAACTTGAGGCGTCAAAACAGCTGCTCCTCATGGGATGGCCGACCGGCATGAGCGAACAAGACCGTGACAGAGAAATCCGTAGCATGGCACAGTACTATGGGGTAGTGGACAAGTTGCAGGGCACCACCACGCTGAAGAACAAGCAAGGACTTGGCCACTTCACCATTGTGCACATGTGGGACAAAGACGCGCGTAACACCTTCCTGCACCAAGTCAAGAACGACCCGCATAAGCTCAAGGGCAGCACCATCGTAGGAAGACCGCAGATACCCCGCCACCGCCGTGAACAAGATGCTCCCATGAAGTGCGCCATGAAGGCACTGGCGACCATCTATGGCGGCAACCCCAAATTCCGACCAACCTGGGAACTGCAGGCCCTATGGCATGAAACCGAATGGGTACTAGCAGTTGCTACGGACGCAAGCGATGCAACCAAAGTGACAATCTTCGTCCCCGATGACAAGAAAGAGGAGTTTGAGAATCAGTTTGCGGAGGATTGGCCGACATGGCAAAATCGGGGCAACCAGACGGAAGGCAGTCCACAAAAATACCTTCGCATCACCATTGCCGCCTTCACCGAGGAAAATTTGCAGGAGCTGAACGACCGCTACGCAACTATGAGCACGCGCTCCCGCAGCTCCAAAGCCTCGGACGACGTTGACATGACGACGGCTGAAGAGGAGTCCGGTTCCCGCTACCCCGCCAAAGGCAGGGGAAAGCGCTCGTCTTGAATTGTACATAGCGGCACGCGTACTCTGCGCAGTACAACCGCAGACCGTAATAAACACTCACCTCGCGCAAATTCTTCACATACGACCACTTCTTGCACGACCATTACTTACTCACACCTGCCAATGCGCCGCCCAGCAGGCAAGCCGGGCACACCGCGAAGCAAATCTTTAAAGAAGAAGCGTTTCACGACCATTTTTGACGACCATGTTGTATGCAATAATCACACAAATTCAAAGCTTCAGCGGCTACAGAGACACACTCGGTCAGCAAAAAAGAGAGGTAGGAGGTCTACACTTGCAACCACACAGAGAAAAGCAAACTTGGCCACCAAGCGGTCGCAACACCGCCGGTGGTATAGATGGTGTAAATCTAATGTTGGCTACTTTGAAGAAGGCCTAGACAGGCGCCGTCCGGGCAACGGTGGCCTCACCTGCTCGAAAGCAACTGCCTCTCAGCCCTTGAAAGACACCCGGAACGCGGGTTTGTTTGCTTACGAAGACCATACTGAGAACAGAAAGCGTTCACCTCATTTATCCAAGCTTTTTCATGGTACTTCACTTAACATTGCTACCCTCAACGCCTGTTCCCTTTTGAAACCTTCAATGCATCATCAGATTGTCCAGTACATGAAGTCCAAGTGCATTGACGTCCTTTGTCTACAAGAAACCAAAGCCAAGCGTACTTCTTACTACATGATCGATTCGTTTACCTTCTACACATTCAGCAATGCGAGCCCCGACAAGCAGGAGCACTATGGTACAGGTTTTGCGTTGTCGCCTGCGGCAAAACGAGCGCTCTTACGCACACTCCCTAGCAGCAGTAAGGTGGCAGGAATTAGTTTACACACGGGAGCTGGGGAATTTTCAGTCATCACAGGTCATGCGCCGCATAACCAGCACACCGAAGAAACCAAGCAGGCTTTTTACGACGAACTCAACCAGCTCATAGAAAAGGTGGAAAACCGAGGCCCTTATCTCATTATGGGAGACTTCAATGCACGCATCCATGGTAGAATGCACGATGAGGATCTTGTCTTGGGGCCCCATTTGTACGGGAAAGGTGTTGGTTCGGTGGGAGGCGAACTGGATAACAGGAGCTTTCTCATCAATTGCTGCGTCCAAAACCAGCTCCTGGTTTCCAACACGTGGTTCAAGCACAACTCCGCCAAGCAGGTCACGTACAGGGAAGTAGGAACCGCTGCCCTTCCCCATGCCTCTGCTTCTTGGGACCCCAACTTGTTTGCTCAACTTGATCTGTGTCTTACCCCCCGGAGATGGAGAAACTTTGTGAGGGACGTTTCTTCCGATCCTTGGGCGAATGTTGACAGTGATCATTTCCCGTTGCTTGCAAAGGTGAGACTCAAACTGGGGGCTAGGCGCCAACAGGCGCCGCGCCCTCGCTGGGATTTCCATAGTGCCTCGCCCAGGAACATCCGCGAGATGAACGAAGCCCTGGAAGCCCGATTGAACGAAGTAGCAGGTCATGAGGACGTGTCCCAAAAATGGGACTTTCTCCGGGAAGTGTTTGTTCAGGCCATGGACGAACACATACCTAAATACCAGTTCGCACCTAGGAAACCCTGGATTAGCCAGAGCACCTTGGATTTGATTACGCGTAGAGGTGTCCTGCGCAGCCAAGGCGACCTCCAGCAGGTGGCAAAGTACAACAAAGACATTAAGCGTTCTGCAAAACGGGATAAGAAAAACTGGCTCGAAGAGCAACTACAATCAAATTCGTGGGAGCCGATTAAGCAGCTCAAGAAATCGTTCCCTACAAAGATGGTTCGACTTGAGCCTTCACCAAGTTTAGGGATGTCAGCAACAGCCACAAATGCGGATATCTATGCCGCTCACCTAGAGCAGGTGCAGTGGGCTCCTGCAAAGTCGAGTGGGGTTGACGATCTCTGCACGGATCTTTTGCCACACGCTGCCCCGGACATCGAAGAGGGCCCTTTGACCATGGCCGAACTCATTCAGGCTATTAAGCATCTCAAATCCGGCAAGAGTGCGGGACAAGATAATATTCCTAATGAGTTCTGGAAGAACCTTTCCGGCAAAGGCTTAGAGGCTCTTTTGGACTTGTTTCAAGATTGTTGGAGTCACGGCAAGAGTCCATCGTCTTGGAAGCAGTCCCAGGTTATAGGCATATTCAAGAAAGGTTGCGAGAGCGACCCGTCAAATTTTAGGCCAATTTCTTTATTGCAGACTTGCTACAAATTGTACGCCAGGGTGCTGGCTGCGAGGTTGTATGCAGGTCTGGACCCTGTGCTCCGTGACAATCAGTTCGGTTTTAGGCAAGGTAGGAGTACGAGCGACGCTATTTTTCTTGTTCGGCGCCTGCAAGACCTTGTTGATGCCAAGCGCAATCAAGTTCTGCACTTGTTGTTTTTGGACTGGAGCAAGGCTTTTGATACGATCAAACCCGCTGCGTTACACCTGGCGCTGCGTCGGTTGAAGGTGCCACCAACCATGTGCAAAGCAATCCTGGACCTCACGGCGTCTCCGGTTTTTCGTGTTGTTGTGGATGGTGAGGTTTCCGGGCTTAAATCTCAGTCCAGCGGAATACGACAAGGATGTACCCTTTCACCTTTGCTGTTTATCGCAATGCAGACTGTTATGTTTCATGACATTCAAAGGACCTTCCTTGCGCAGCACCCGCTCGCTGTTACCCCTACAGTCTCCATGTTTGATATTGAGTTTGCTGATGATACTGTCTTGATATCTAGGAATTATGAGCATTTGCAAACTTTGTTGCAGATTGTGCAAACGGAAGCTGCAAAATACAACTTGCATCTCAATCATGGCAAATGTAAGCTTGTGTCCTACAACAGTCAGGCGGAGACCAACTTTATGGATGGCAGTAAGGTCCCTAAGGCCACCTCTGTGGTTTACTTGGGTGCTGTCATTGACTCGCAAGGTAGGCCGGGAAACGAAATCTCTAAACGAATTGGGGAATGCAGGCAGGTCTTCAAGAAGCTTATGCGGGTTTGGAAACACACAGGCATTTCGCGTGAAAGAAAACTGCGCATTTACTATGCTTGTGTCGTCAGCAAGTTGACCTACAGCATGTCTACCATGTGGCTCACTGATAAGCATAACAAGATGTTGGACGCTTTTCATATTAAATGTTTGCGTTCAATTGCAGGCATTCCCACCACTTGGGGTGCTATGGTCATCGGATGTGAACGGATCCCCAACGAACAAGTACGTAGTCAAATGGGAGTGCACTATCTTTCGGACGAGGTCAAACTACAACAGCTGTCTTTGCTAGGTCACGTTTTGAGAAGACCTTTGACCCATCCAGCCAGGGTTCTCTCTTTCGATCGTTTTCTTCAGCCACAAGCATTAGGAGGCCCGTATAGAGCTGGTGCAAGAAGACATAAATGGAACGCCAAAATCTTGGAGTTAGCTATGACCATTACTCACGACCATTACTTCGGGGCGAGAGCAGGTGTGGGGGAACGTGAAATCAAATCTAAGCTGTTGGAGGTGTCGCAAAACAGACAAACTTGGTCTTCGGTTCTTCAGCGTGTCCGTAGTTCTTGGCGTCGCCCACGGGATGCCGCTGGTGCCCCACGGCAATGAAAAAAGGGGTTTTGGAGTCTCTGGGTATGTCCAAGCTGCTGCATGGGCGCAAAGCCACAAACACTACACAGCCCTAAACCCTGCACCCTAAACCCTAAACCCATGAAACTTAAGCGCCAAAAGCACACTCCAAGCCCTAAACTGTTGAACCCTCACCTGAACCCTACACCCTAAACCCTAAACCCCGCACCTAAGCTCTAAGACCTAAGAACCCTAAACCCTGAACCCCAAACCCTAAACCCTAAACCCTAAACCCCAAAACCCAAAACCCATGAACGAGGATCCCGCCTCGCCCTCAGACTCGTCGCACGTGCGGCCACACTTCTCGGCCTGGGCGCCGAATTCCAGGGTCCACAGGGTTGAGGGTTTAGGGGTGAGGGTTGAGGGTTGAGGGTTTAGGGTTTAGGGTTTCGAGATTATCCAAGAAGCTCTTAGCTTGTTGGGTCTCCTACTCCCCTCGCTACACTCCCCCAATGGCTCCCCTTTAACTTATGTTTTAGGGTGGGAGGGGGCGACTGTAGGGAGGGTAAGAGGTCCTGTTTTGTAGGCTTTGGTATCCGATCCTAAACCCTAAATCCTAAACCTAAACCCAAAACCCTGAACCCCAAGCCCTAAACCCTAAACCCTAAACCCTAAACCCTAAACCCCCGAAGCCCGTACCCCCTCGGACTCCCGGGCGCGGCAGCTCGAGGCACCCATCGCGGCAGGGCTGAGGGTCCTCTGAGGGTTTAGGGTGCAGGGTGTAGGGTTTAGGGTTTAGGGTTTGGGGTTTGGGGTTTGGGGTTTGGGGTTTAGGGTTTGGGTTTTAGGGTTTTGGTCTAGGGTTTGGCGTTTTGGTTTAGGGTTTAGGGTTGGGGTTTGGGGTTCAGGGTTTAGGGCAGGGTTTCCTCAGCCCATGACAAGACCGACCACCACTCCCGGACAAGAAAGCAATGTTGCAAAAGCTGTCGCAAAAGCGATAGCAATATGGCGACAGCAAATATGGGGGTTTCCGAGACTCGGGATACCTTATTCTGGTCCTTATTAGAAGGGAGCCCTCTTATTTGGGTTTTTATTAGGGATCCCTTATGTTCGAAAACTCCCTTCTGGCGATGGCAATGGAAAGTGCAGAATACAAAGCAAGAGAGGGATAGCAAGCGCGATAGCAACAGCGATGGCAGCAGCGATGCCGACAATTAGCCAACATTTTTATGCAAAAAAAAACAGTAAAGCACAAGTTGGGATGTCCCCCCTTATACGAACAGTCCTGATAGGGCTTAGAATAGGGGGTACTAGAATCCTTGTTAAGGACTGTTAGTATGAGGGGGAAGAATCTAAAAAACCTAAACCCTAAACCCTAAACCCTAAACCCCAAACCCTAATAACAAGAAGAAGTCAGCACCGGTGAGAGAACCAAGAAACTCGCTGCCTCGGGCGCCCATGTGCAGCGGGCCGCTGTTGAGGCCGTCGTGGAGGGGTTTCGGGACGAAAGTTGGGGGGTTTAGGGCTTAAGGTTTAGGGTTCAGGGTTTGGGGTTTAGGGTTTAGGGTTTAGGGCCGCAAGTATGCGCTAAGGGTGTTCGAGAGCTCCTTAGAGGCCCTCCCTAAGCCCAGGGTTTTGTGAGGAGATGCGAGGGCCGTCGGGTCTCATGTCGGGCTGGGAGGCTTGGGAAGAAACGGCTCTCATGGCTGAGACAGGCTTTGGAGGGTTTTGGGGTCTGGGGGTTGAGGGCTTGGGGCTTGGGGTTTGGGGTTTTGCGGGTTGTGGTTTGGGGGTTTAGGGCTTTGGGTCTTGGGCTTGGGGCTTGGGGTTTTGGGGTTTGCGGCTTGGGGTTTGGGGCTTGGGGTTTGGGGTTTGGGGTGTGGGGGTAGGGGGGGAGCTGGGGCTCTTTCAGGCTTCGGGTGCCCAGGAAAAGGGCCATGCACGCGATCGGTGGCCCAAACCGACCTCGACCCCAAGAAAATCCCGGAAAAGAAATGGCCAGGCCACTAGGCGTCTAGTGCTGGGGTCCGGGGTCCGTGTGAATGGGAAGAGCTACGCGGCGCGTTGAACACTAAACCCTGAACACTAAACCCTAAACCCTAAACCCTAAACCCTAAAAACCCTGAACCTCAAACCCGCAACTCTGCACCCACGACCCAAGCCCTCAACCCGCAACATCCCTGAAGTCTTATATGGGGTTTACAAAAATAGGGGACCCAGCATAGACCCCCAAATAGTAGGATTCCTTCATGATAAGGAGCCCAATAAGGTACCCCTAATTTCGGAAGACTGCACTGAGAAATTGCAGTTCTAAAGGTTTTGAGATCCTGAACTGGACCCGGCTGCACTGAGGCAAGCTCGAGTGAGCCTCAGAGAACTCCTGAACCCCAAACCCGACTCAGCCCAACCCCAAACCCTAGACCCCTGAACCCCAAACCCTACTCAGCCCAACCCCAAACCCTAGACCCTAGACCCTAAACCCTAAACCCTAAATCCTAAACCCTAAACCCGGGCACTAGATTCCCCGCAGATCGCCCTCACCACTTTCTTGTTCCTCATGTCATTCCGTGCGCGACGTGCCGACCGGGCCGAAGCCAGACCCCAAACCGAAACCCTCCAAGAAATAAGGGTTTAGGTTTAGGGTTTAGGGTTTAGGGTTTAGGGTTTAGGTTTAGGGTTCAGGGTTGAGGGTTTAGGGTTTAGGGTTTAGGGTTTAGGGTTTAGGGTTTAGGGTTTAGGGTTTAGGGTTTAGGGTTTAGGGTTTAGGGTTTAGGGTTTAGGGTTTAGGCTTGCGGGATCGCGGGACTTTTGGAGCCTCTAGCCATGGTGAGAGCTGGGTCAGGCGGGCGTGGCCCGGTCAGATAATGTAAAGCGATCGTTAACGGCAACTACTGGAACAGCCATGGCGCCTCACCCTAAACCCTAAACCCTAAACCCTAAACCCTAAACCCTAACCCTAAACCCTAAACCCTAAACCCTAAACCCACTCAACAAAATTTCGAGCTTACCAAGTGCATGGGTGGTTAGAAGTAAGGCTCTAGGTACCCTAAATAGGCTTAGAAGCATAGCTACCATAATTACCATAAGCCTACTTATCACTACCCATGAACCTCCCCTAGTAGGGCTTCTTGGCTTCCTCAGAGGTCTTAAGCCTTTTGGATTGGGAGACCCTTGGGGAATCAAGGGACTAAAGGAGGGGCCCTTACTTTAAGGCGCTTTTTGTGGGTTATATAGGGGGAATAAGATGAAGGCTCCCTTCTAGGGGTCCCTCCTTATGATCCTTAAGAGAAGCGTGTTTGGATGTAGCGCTTCTTGCGGGCTTCAGTTTTCTCACCGCGCGAAGCTATGAAGGGTGCCTCAACGCTGAACGCGAGTGAAAGATTTATTCCTGCTTCTCAAGAGGGATCCGAAGATGAACGCAAGTCTGTTCCCTAAACCCTACACATCCTCAACCCTAAACCCTACTCCCTAACCCTAAACCCTAAACCCAAAACCCTAAACCCTAAACCCCGCTGTCCATGGCCTGAATCGAAGTCGACTCGGGGGGTCAATCGCAGCTCCGAATGGGAACAGGCCCCGTCGCCAGAACAAGCGAAGCCCGCTCAAGTCGAGGTGGAGCGCTCAGAGGGGGTTTAGGGTTTAGGGTTTAGGGTTTAGGGTTTAGGGTTTAGGGTTTAGGGTTTTTAGGGTTTAGGGTTTAGCGATTAGGGTTTAGGGTTTAGGGTTTAGGGTTTAGGGTTTAGGGTTTAGGGTTTAGGGTTTAGGGTTTAGGGTTTAGGGTTTAGGGTTTAGGGTTTAGGGTTTAGGGTTTTAGGTTTAGGGTTTAGGGTTAGGGTTTGGGGTTTAGGGTTTAGGGTTTAGGGTTTAGGGTTTAGGGTTTAGGGTTTAGGGTTTAGGGTTTAGGGTTCAGGGTTTAGGGTTTAGGGTTTAGGGGTTTCAAGTTTAGGTTTCAGGGCGTAAGCTGCTAGGAGCACGTGGAAGACGATTCTTGGGCGTTGTGGATAGCCCATGCTCTCCCTCAAGAAAGCTTAGGGTTCAGGGTTTGGGGTTTGGGGTTTAGGGTTTATGGTTTAGGGTTTAGGGTTCAGGGCTCAAGGAGCTAAGGGCTGGAGCTGCAACGAGACCGACCCAGGATATTTTCGACGAAGTGTATCTGGGCCTGTCTCAGGTGCTTGGCTGCTTGACAAGGCTTTGCTGCATGTAAGAGACGCCGGGAAGTTTCTGACTGATGTAGATGTAGGGCGATGTATGTAAGGGCTGGTCTCAACTACAGGCCCGTGTTAGTACACTAAACTATGCGGGATACACTGCAAAAAGAAACCCCACAAGAGCGGCCCAACATTTCGATGAACCCTAAACAGTAAACCCTAAACCCTACAATGTATGTATTTACATGTGTGTATGTATGCATGCATGCATGTATGCATGTATGCATGTATGCATGTATGCATGTATGCATGTATGCATGTATGCATGTATGCATGTATGTATGTATGTATGCATGTATGTATGTATGTATGTGTACATGTATGTAAGTATGTATGTATGCATATCTGTATATACCGACGTATATGTATATGTATATGCATATGTCTATGTCTATGCCTATGCCTATGCCTATGCCTATGTCTATGTCTATGTCTACGTATATATATATATATATATACATATATTAATATATCTGTGGGGCTCACAAGGATTGAGATTCGGGGCTTAGGGCTCAAGCACCCTTGACAAGCCGCGCCCTCTCCTTAGGAGAGGGCCAGCCGCCTGCGCTGCAGAGGGGCCATTACCAAAAGATCAAGCCCGAACCCGATGGGTTTAGGGTTTAGGGTTTAGGGTTTTGGGTTTTGGGTTTCGGGGTAGAAGGAGGTACCCCTAGAAGGGACCCTTAATCTTATTCCCCTATTATCACCCCTATATTTACCTTATATAGTCCCGACACACCGAAGTAGCCCCCAAATATCCCCGAAATAACCCTTGAGGTCCCTTGCAAGGGTCCCTCCTTGAGTCACTTGATAGAATGAAAGCCATGAACCCTTCAAACGCTGCAAACCATGCGCAAACCGCATAAACCCTATAAAACCTACACATCCTCAACCCTAAACCCTGATTAAACCCTAAACTCTACGCGCTAAACCCTAAATCCTGAACCCTAAAGTCTAAAGTCTGGAGTCTAAACCCTAAACCCTAAACCCTAAACCCTAAAGCCTAAAGCCTAAAGCCTAAAGCCTAAAGCCTAAACCCTAAACCCTAAACCCTAAACCCTAAATCCTAAACCCTAAACCCTAAACCCAACCCCTTTATTCCGGAAGCCCTCCACCTGCAGCGGCTTTGAAAACGTCTGGGCATGGGCCCTCGCGATCTTCGAAATCCTTCGCCTGGGCGCATAATATAGCGGCCTGAATAGTTAGAATAAGGTTCATTTTTCTTTTTTTTTTTGGGGGGGGGGGGGGGAGGGGGGTGATTATAGTATAATAATTAGAATAAGGTTTTGGGGGGTTATGATAGTATAATATTAAAGGGGCCCTAAGGGACCATGAGTAGTAGCTACGCGCATGTGAACTTGGAGGTTCCTGGGTAGGTAGGGTTCAGGGTTGAGGGTGTGGGGTTCAGGGTTCAACCCTGAACCCCGAACCCCAAACCCTAAACCCTCAACTCTAAACCCCAAACCCTAAACCCAAAACCCCAAACCCTAAACCCACCCTAAGCCCTAACCCTAGACCCTATTATGGGGCCAGGGGCTTCGGCTTTCGA